TAGTATAATCTATTTTTAAACAGGGCTTTTAGATAGGGGAGAGGGAGCATCTCTTCCTGTATCTGAGATGGGGTGGGTGGGAAGGGAGGGATTTGGGGGGTGATATTCCTGCCACCCCCAAGTGTTTATTTTTGATACCAAATGTGTATTTTCAGCTCCCTCCCTCCCAGCCCCCCAATTTCCTGCGGGCGGGTACAAAGGACCCTTTAAGTGTCCCTGGAGTTGGGAGGGAGGAATAGGAGGACGTAAAGCCTGTACTATCTGAATTCTAGGCTGAAGAGGTTCAAAGGACTCCTAGGCTCACCGCCTGTCAGCACTGACCCAGCCCAGGCCTGGGGACCTGGGGGTTGGTGATTTGGGGGACGGTGCTACACCTGTCTCCACTGTTCGTTTTACTTCCCCCCAAATGGATCTTTTTTTTCTAAGAGTCCCAGAGACTGGGGAATTGTTCCTGTAAATATATATTTTTAAAGGTCATGCTGGAGGCTGCTAGCGTTTTTATTTCCCGAAGCTGTGGAGGCTGAGTGTGACAGGCATTACTATGTATAAAAGTCAGTGAGGGTGTGAGATTGGTTGTGAGAGAGAATGATATTGTGTGTCAGAAACAGTAGCAGAGACTACAGATTGGTAACCAAGTATGAAAAAGAAACTAGAAAGCCATAATTGCATGTACATGTGTGTGAAATCATGTGAGAGAGCGGGAGTTGTAACCACTAACTTGACATTATGTCTGTGTGAGAAATTATGTCTGTGTGTCAGGAAATCACTGTACAAATGAATGAGTGATTAAGGTCCTGTACAAGAAACTGGTGGTATGTGTGAAGTCATGTTTATGAGAAGATAGTGGGAACTGCAGACAAATCACTGTTTGACGACACACTGAGTGATCAAAACAAGGTGTGAGAGCCTGGGGCATGAAAGTGTGGTAGAACTTGTTGGGACTATGTGGAAGTGAAAAACTTCACTGTATATAAGCAGGTGACTCAGTTTTGGGAGATGAATTGTGTGTTAAACTGTTGATGTAAGACTGTTTTAACAATCAGCGAAAGTCAGGAGCGTGTATGTAAGAAGTTGATTGTGTGAGAGAAAATGGTTGTGAGGCCAAATGGGTGCCTGAGACACAAAAGACGAGAATGTGTGATTATGTGTATGAATACTGTTCGTGTGAAACTAGCAAAGACTGAGAACAGAAAAAAATGGCTGTGACTGGGAGAGTAGGAGAGGCTGTGAAAGAGAGAGAGAGAGAGCGAGCGCACGCGCGCATGCACGCATATGTACATGTACCTAAAACAAGTGGCAAATTAATTGAAAGTTACTACTGTAGTTTTGCCCGTAGGTTCAGGGACTGTGAAAGTGGGAGAGAATATGATGATGAGACTGAGTGTGTCTGAAATGGTGCAAAAGGCCACATAACTGTGAGTAAGAGATCATAAGTAACAACAAAGTCAGCACTGTGTGAAAGAAAATTGAGCAGTTGTGTGAGAGTGTGTGGGTCTGCAAAACATTTCATAAAAGAGTGTAAATCAAAGACTATGTTTTTGTGAAAAACTGAGAATACGGGACACAGAGACCATGTGATTGGTGTGTATGAGAAACCAGCAAAGCTATAATTATGTTTGAATGTACATGATAAATTGACTGATGAAAATCACGGTATAAGTGACTAAGACAGGCCATGAGAGACTATGTGTATAAGGCTTATTGAGAGCCTAGTACCAATTGTGAATTAGTGACCACAGATGTCAGAAACTGACTGAGGGAAAGAGACATGACACTGAATGGGTGACTGAGGTAGTGTCTGAGAAACTGATTGTGTGGGTATGTGTAAAACTTTTGCAAGAGACTTTCTTAAAGGCTGTAAATCAAAGACTGGTATTTGGAATCTGCTTGAAAAGAAATGTGAGAGACTAGGTGACTAAGACAGTGTCTGAGATACTGTGTGATTACGTATGCGTGTGAAACTCTTAGCTATAATCAGAGACTCAGTACATGAAGTGAGGCCTTGAGTGTGAAGGGTAGAAGAGAAGGTAATTCTGTGTGTGTGCAAGAAATTCATGAGAAGTCGGTGGCTGTAAATCAGTGACTATTTGTGTATATGAGAAAATGACGGCCTAAGTGGTTGAAACATCTTATCAAAAGGTGTGACTCTTTGTGTACAGGTGGAAAACTGACTGGTGCAAGTAAATATTGGTCATATTGGCCAAGTGAGATGGGCTCTAAGACCTGATTGTGTGTGTGAATTGTTAGTAGGAGACAGTAAGACTGGGAATCAGTAACAAAGAAAATGACTCCTTGAATGAGTGACTGAGAGAATGTCTGAGAAGCTGTGTGAATCCAGTATGTATGTGAGCCTGTTCATAAGAGACTACAGGAGAGACCATAAATCCAGAACTGTATGTTATAAAAACATTTAAAAATAGTGCAATGCCCTGGCTGGTTTGGCTCAGCGGTCAGAGTGTTGGCCCACGGACCAGAGTCACAGGTTTGATTCCGGTCAAGGGCACATACCTCGATTGCAGTTCCGTCCCCAGCCCTGGTCGGGGTCATGCAGGAGGCAACCAATCGATGTTTCTCTCTCTCTCTCTCTCTCTCTCTCTCTCTCTCTCTCTCTCTCCCCCCCCCTTCCCCTCTCCCCCTCTCTCCCTCCCCCTCCCCCTCCCTCTCCCTTTCCCCTCTCTCTGTCTGAAAATAAATGGAAACATATCCTTGGATGCGGATTTTAAAAAAATAGAGAAAATGACTGAGATTGAATGGGACTGCATGAGAGACCATGGACAAAATGTGCCAGGCCTATGAGAAGGCCTTCCCCTGTTTGCCCTTGGCCTCTGTCAGCACCTCCTCCTCAGCCCCTATGCTCCATTTCCCTCAGTTCTCCAGAACTTGAAATGCTGGACTTCTTTCCTCTTTTCAAGAGCTCTGGTCCAGTCCGGGCACTTGAGACACTATGTATCCCCCCACCCCCATGATGTCCACATTTTTATCTATAACCCACACTCTTCCGCTTAGCACTTCACAGAATCTCTAAAGTTTTGTTTATTTCATTTATTTCTGCATTCAGCAAAATGTTATTTGAGCCCTGCAGACACAGCAGTTAACACACCAGACAAAAATCCCCACCCTTGAGCTGGTATTTGAGTGAGGGCAACAGACAAAAAACAGATAAATACATCATACAAAGTGGCAGTGCAATAATTACTGAAGACAAGACTGTTTCTCACTCTTTGTTTAAATAAGAAATCAGCAGAGTTACTTTATTGCCCAAATATGTGGGAGAGATGAAAGTGCCGACAAGCCTCTTCCATAGGGAATCCTATGAGTATTTATACAGTTTAGGAACAAAGGAAATATCAGTTAGAACGTTATTACCAGGGCAACGGGTGATTAGATAAAGCAGCCAACCAGAAGTACAGGTTTCTTGAATTTGTTTTCACAGGGTAACACATCACTGAAGTTTGAAGTTTTAGAATGCTAACAAGACCTCTTTGTTCAAAGTACACTTTCCAAGACAGGCTTATGTTATCAGGAAACAAAGTACATCTCAATGTCAGCACACCTACTGCCCATAAAATAAGATTACTATTCTTGAGAAAGGAAAGTTCTGTTTTAACATTAGCTTTGACCAAATCAAATTCTTTTACTTTGTTTTAATTTGCAGAATGCAATTTCTTCCTCTGAATGCAGGGGACATTGCCTTCCTACCTTTCTTAGACACCTTATTGTTACTTTAAAAGATTCTTGTGATTTTTTTTTTTCTTGGTTTTTGTTTTTTTTATCCTCACCCAAGGACATTTTTGCATTTATCCTCAGAGAGAGAGAGAGAAACATTGATGCGAGAGAGACACATCAACTGGTTGGCACCCACACGACCCTAACCAGTGCAGGGACAAACTGCAACCGAAGTACGTGCCCTTAGCAGGAACCAAACCTGGGACTCTCTGGTCCACGGGCCGATGCTCTAACCTCTGAGCCAAACTGGCCAGGGCTAAAAGATTCTTGTTTTTAAAATGGCTCTGGAGTTTCACTCAGTAGGGTTATAAAAAGATAGCAAGCAGGTCAATGGAGCTCGGTTTTACCTGCATGGAAAATGAGTTGAAGAGGAATTAAGTATTAACAATATAGAATAGTTTTTTTAGAAGAGACCTATAAAGGAAAAGAGTGATCAAGGACTAGAATGATGGTTCTTAAAGTATGATACCCAGATCAGAAGCATTGTCACCTGGGAGGGAGCCTCTTAAAAATGAACATTCTTGACCCCACACCTACAGAATCAGAAATGGGTGCAGCCCAGCAGTCTATGATTTGACCAAGCTTCCAGATGATTCTGATGCACACTAAGGTTTGAGAGCCACTGGGCTAAAGAGTGACTGGGGTGCCATATAAAGAGAGTATCTGGGGAAGGCCTCTGTGAGGGAGGTGACATTTATTATGTGTCTTCTTTTAGCATGTAAAGCCCCTTGAGGACCAGGATTTTGGGCTGTTTTATTCTCTGCTACATCCAGTGCCAAGAATAGCATCTGGTACCCAATAGGTGCCCAATAAATGTTGGATAAATATATTTAACAGGCACAGAGCATCTACTATGTGCCAGGAACCGTGCTAAGGACTTTAAAAAGTCTTAGCTCCCAATCTTCTCAACAAACCCTATGATGTATGCTCAGGGAGGGATTGTCACCTACCCAAGTTACTCTGATGGAACATGACCAGGCTGGTGCCCTTCCAAACACCCCCTCCACAGGCCCTGAAGGTGTCCCCAGCTGGGCCCCTGGGACTAAATATCCCCAGTTCACTCCTAATCCTCCCTACATTCTTGTCACTTCCCCTTCTCACTTCCCTTGTGCTGAGCTCCCTTCCCTTTGCTGACCACAGGGGACCTCAGGAAAGAGGAGGGTTAAGTCAGGAAGGAGAATGAAGCAATTATCTGGATGCCTACTCCACCCCATGAGGAGGGGCACACTGAGCATGCCATACTCATTTCACCCTTGTTCAACATCCCCATGAAGTTGATCCTGTCATGGTAGAGAGTATGCATTTTATAGGTGAAGAAACGAGCTCAGGGAGATTCAATGACTTGCCCAAGATTACACAGCTCCAAACTCCTATGCTCCATTTCCCTTCGGTAAGAATTTGTTGAAAGAGCAGGAGCATTGATTGAGTCCTGAAGAGTTGCTGGGCAGGGTGTGGGGTGCTAGGGATACAGTGACAAACAAAACAGGATCCAGAGTGAGACAGGAAATATAGGAGTGAATAGAGGAGGTGGCTCATGGGCAGAGGTGACAAGGGGGAGGTGAAAGCTGAAAAGATCTGCCCGCCCCCTCACTGCTGCCCTTTGCTCTCCTAGTTCCTCCTGCCCCTGGTTCCTCTTTTCCCACTGACCCCCAGAGCAGGCCAGCTCACATAAAGCCAGGCAGGGCTTCAGGAGGGCAAAGCTCAACATGCCCACCCCAGCACAGGCCTCTTGGTTGCTGCCGCTGCCGCTGCCGCCACTGCTACTGTTACTCACCCTTTCAGCTACAGGTGAGTGGGTGAGCCTAGCTGGCCCCCAGGGGTGCCTGGACCCACCATACCCCTGACCATACCCCTTTCCCCCACCTGTTACAGGCTCAGACGCTGTACACTGCTTTACCCAGTATGAGGAATCCTCAGGCAAATGCAAGGGCTCCCTGGGGAATGGTGTCGGTGTGGAAGACTGCTGCCTTAACACTGCCTACGCCTTCCAGGAGCCCGGCAGCAATCTCTGTCAGCCATGCAGGTTAGAAGGAGCCTGGGGTTGGGGGGAAGCAGGAAGGACTTCTGCAGGGCGACCCAGAACTGAACTCTTTCCTTCTCTGGGATTCCCAAGGGTGGTTCCAAGGCCCTGATCAGGGTTTCTCAGCCTTTGTTCTATTGATATTTGGGGCCAGAAAATTATTATGGGGGAGGAGGGCTGACCTGTGCATTGCATGGTGTTTTGTAGGATCTCTGGCCTCCAATTAGATGCCAGTAGCAACTCTCCACACCAGCTGCAACAACCAAAATGTCTTCAGACATTGCTGAATGTCCCCTGGGGTGCAAAATCACCCCTGGTTGAGAACCACAGCTATAGCTTACATATATTGAGCACTTCCTACTTACTGGAAGCATTGTGGGTGGGGTGCAACTTGGGTATTGCTGAAGGTGGCTCAAGTCCCCTAATTGTGATGACAGCTCATATTGAGTGCTTACTGTATACGGATGCATTGTGAAGGCAGGAGAGTTTGGGAAGTTCTGAGGGCAGCTCCAGGTCCCTAATAATGATGACACCACATTCATTGAGCACTTCTGGCATAACAGATGCATTGCAGAGGTTGGGGGCAGCTGGAGGATTTCTGACGGTGGCTCTAATCTTGTCATGATGCCAGCTTAATGTATATTAAGCATTTACTGTACGCCAGACGTATTTTCTAACTGCTTACTGAATATACCAGATACACTGTGGGAATGAGGAGCTTGGGGATTTTTTGAAGGCAGCTCTAGGTCCCTAGCTATATCAACAGTTCACATCTGTTTAACATTATGCTGTGTAGGTGTTTGAGGATAGATCTGGGGTATTTCTGACAGATTCTCTGAGCTCACTGGGATGGTGGCTCCTATTTATTTATTTATTAAGTGTTTCCTGTTTGCATAGTGGTTGCCTTACAGCAGCTCTGGGCCCTTACTCCTTATATTTGCTTACTGCATGCCTGGCACTGTCCTTCGGGGTAGCTCCAGGTCTCTGGTCATGAAAGTAAATAATATTTATTAAGTACTTACTGTGTGTCCATCTTCCCATTCAGTTCCCCAATATCCTTGAGAGGTAGATACTCTCATTAGTTCACACATATTTATCCCACACCCCCACCAATGCTTGCCCACACTCTGCAGTTCTGTACACTATCCTTGCCAGCTCGTGCCTGGATGGGACATATGTGCTTCTCTCTGCAGGTCCCCACAATGGTCACCGTGGTCCAGGTGGAACCCCTGCTCAGTGACCTGCACTGAGGGCTCCCAGCTGCGGCACCGGCGCTGCATAGGCTGGGGTGGAGAGTGCCCTGAGAAGGTGCAGCCTGGGACCCTCGAGTGGCAGCTGCAGGCCTGTGAGGACAAGCCATGCTGTCCTGGTGAGGAGGATCAGCAAGGCAGACATGCACTGCCTGTTACCCGGCACTGGGAATAATCGGGACAGAGGTCCTGAGGGTGGGATTGTACCTGATGTTTGTGAGGCTCTAAGGAAGAGGCAGAGTGTGGCTGGAGGATAGGGGTAGGAGGTGAGGTCAGAGGGAGCCTGATTCTTGTGGGCCATTTTAAGGATGATGGCTTTTATTTTGAGTGATGTGGGTTATGGGCAGAAGAGAAACTTGATCCGACTTGGGTTGTGACCTCCGCACTGTCGTGAGGAAGACAAACTGTGTGGTGAGAGGTGAAGCAGAGGGATCGTGTGCAGGTTACTACAGTAGTCCCGATGAGCAATGATGGTGGAACAAATGTGACAGAGAATGTGGGAACAGGATTAACTGATGTGGGGTACAAGAGGAGGCAAGGGCCCCTGAATGACACCCCCACCTCCATCCTGTCCCACTCTCTTCTATCCCACAGAGATAGGTGGCTGGTCCAACTGGGGGCCCTGGATGCCTTGCTCTGTCACCTGCTCCAAAGGGACCCGGACCCGTCAACGAACATGTGATCAACCCATCCCCAAGTGTGGGGGCCAGTGCCCAGGAGAGGCACAGGAGTCAGAAGCCTGTGACACGAAGCAGGTCTGCCCCAGTGAGTGAGGGCAACCACAGGGCGCTGATGCAGGCACCCAGGGTGGGTCTGAGGGTTACAGCAGGGATCTTCCAGGATGGGAGAACTTCAGCACGCATGACCACACTTAGCTTCTCTCCACCCCCCACCCCCCTAGCACATGGGGCCTGGGCTGCTTGGGGCCCCTGGGGCCCCTGCTCAGGCTCCTGCCATGGTGGACCCAGCGCACCTGTGGAAAGACGAAGCCGCACGTGTTCTGCACCTGAGCCCTCCACAGAGCCTCCTGGGAAGCCATGCCCAGGACTACCCTATGAGCAGCGGGTCTGCAGTGGCCTGCCGCCCTGCCCAGGTACATATGGATAAGGCCTCTGACACTCTGTTTAATTTGGCCACAGATGCTCTGCCATTTCATAGGATAGATCTTAGATCATGTGACCATATACCTCTTCATTTGGGGAAGGTCTAGAGCAGTGGTTCTCAACCTTCCTAATGCCATGACCCTTTAATACAGTTCCTCATGTTGTAATGACCCCCAACCATAAAATTATTTTCGTTGCTACTTCATAACTGTAATTTTGCTGCTGTTATGAATCGCCATTGGAAATACGTGTTTTGCGATTGTCTTAGGAGACCCCTGTGAAAGGGTTGTTCAAGCCCCAAAGGGGTCACGACCCACAGGTTGAGAACCGACCCACAGGTTGAGAACCGACCCACAGGTTGAGAACTGCTGGTCTAGAGGCTGAAGCAGGGAGATTGAGGTGGCCTTTCCTCACTCCTATTTTCCCTCCAACAGTGGCTGGAGGCTGGGGACCCTGGGGCCCAGTGAGCCCCTGCCCAGTGACCTGTGGCCTAGGCCAGACCATGGAACAACGGAAATGTGATCACCCTGTGCCCAAGCACGGGGGCCCCTTCTGTGCTGGTGATCCCACCCGGACCTACATCTGCAACACCGCCATACCTTGCCCTGGTCAGCACCTCAAGATGCACCTCAAGATTTCCATGCCTAAGCCCCCTACCCTTCTCTGCTGTCCTGTTCCTGCTGCTAATGCTTTGGTCCTGCCTCAAATCCCTCCATTTCTGGCCCTGATGCCTTGGTTCCACCTCTGATCCCCCATTCCCACATCTGATTACCACCACTCTGTCCCCCAGTGCTCATTCCTTCTTTTCAACCTCCTTGCTGGCTCCCTTTTTTGACGCAAGCCCCTGCTACCCCTGTCTCTGCAGTGAATGGAGAATGGGGGCCGTGGGAGGAATGGAGCAAGTGCGTCCGCCCGAAGATGGATCGCATCAGCTGTAAGGAGATCCCAGGCCAACAGTCACGCTCAAGGAGCTGCAAGGGCCGCAAGTTTAATGGACTTCGATGTGGCGGGGATCAACAGGATATCCGGTACTGCTACAACATGGAGAAATGCTCGTGTGAGTGATTTCCCAGACTGTGCTGTGAGGGTGGGCAGCCCATGAAGTGATAAAGGTTTCTGACTCTCTGCCATGGGCCCCATGTCTCTGCAGCCTCTCTCTCACTAACCCCCTGAGACCACTAATTCTGACTTTAAATCCCTCCTCTCATTGCAGGGAAAGGCTCGTGGTCAGAGTGGAGTACCTGGGGTCTGTGCACACCCCCATGTGGACCCAACCCCACCCGCACCCGCCAGCGCCTCTGCAAGGCCCATCTCCCCAAGTTCGCGTGAGTGAAGAGGCAGAGTGTGCCTAAGAGGGGGCAGTGATACTGCTATGTCAGTGTTCAGGGCTGGAGAGCTGGCTATCCCCAACCAGGGCTTTCACCACTGGGCCTAAGGTGCCTGCTTTACTCAGTGCCATTTCCCAGCTGCAGGAAGTGGGGGCAACTAAAGAAGAAGATGAGAAAAGATATTGACAGGAGAGTTAGTAGCCTTTGCGCCCTTAAGTCACTCATTCAGTCACTCAGCCATTCTCCCATTCACTCAGTCTTTCATGTGTCCATTTGCTCTGCTCTCTCAGTTACCCATGCTTTGATTGGCTTGTTCAGTCATTCAATCACTCATTTCTCCATGGGTGACTTGGTGTCTCACTCAGTGTCTCACTGCCCCCAGGCACTCTAAGGCCTTTTTAGCAACAGTTGCAAATACACACAACCCAGATCCCATGGATCTCCCAAGAGATGCAGGTAGGCAGGGCCCTGATAGAAGGTATATGAGGAGCGGTTGGTATGTGGAAAGAGGACTGCCACCTCAACCTGGGTCTAGGAGACTGATTGGGCCTTCCCTGACAGGAAGGGGTCAAGACTGTGTACGCAGAGTCCTGGACACAGGTGATCAAAGTGTTTCCTGGTGGCCAGGGTAGCCCAGGTGTGGGAGAGGGTTAAAATACCCACTCATCTCTTGTTATTTCCACATAATGTACCTCAAAGTACTAGATTAAATGGCTTGTTCCCATCTTGTGGAAGGCCTACAATCTGGAAAGTGGTCTCCAGCTGTGGGGTTTAGAGTGGGTCCTGAAGATGAAGTAGGGGTGTTGAGTGGAGGCATGAAGGACTTGACAGAGTGAGGGAATGAATGGAGAAAGGGCTGATTTAGAAAATCAGGATGTGAGTAAATGGAGGGCTTGCCTAGGGTGAGAAATAACCCAGGTAAAGACCATTCTGGACACGGGACTGAGTCTGGATAAAGTGGAAGAGAGATAGAGGTTGCCTTGGGCAGAGATTTGGGTACAACAGGGCCTTGAATGCCAGGGCAAAGCATTTGTTTTTTTTCCCATTGGGCAATGGGGAGAAAGATGGATGTAAGAGAAGGTAGCTTATGTCAACTAGGAACAATCACCGGCACTTATTGAGCACTCACTGTGTGCCAGACATCACTCTGAGCAGTTTACCTGAATTAACTCATTTATCCTCACTCAGCCCAGTGAGGTAGGTATTATTATTATTTATTGTTTCCATTATTCCCATTTTTCAAATGATGGAAACTGAGGCACAGGGAAGGTAAAAGAAATTGCTCAATATATCACAGTTAAAAAGCAGTGTTGGGCCTGGCTGGTGTGGCTCAGTGGTTGAGCATCGACCTATGCACCAAGAGGTCGCCAGTTCGATTCCCGGTCAGGACACATGCCCAGGTTGTGGGCCAGATCCCCACTGGGGGGCATGCAGGAGGCAGCTAATTGATGTTCTCTGTCATCAACATTTCTATCTCTCCCTCTCCCTTCCTCTCTAAAATCAATAAAGAACCCTGACCGGTTTGGCTTAGTGATTAGAGCATTAGCCTGTGGACCAGAGAGTCCCAATTTTGGTTCCCCCTAAGGGCACATACCTCGGTTGCAGTTTGTCCCCAGCCCAGGTTGGGTTCGTGTGGGTGGCAACTACTCGATGTGTCTCTCACGTCGATGTTTCTCTCTCTCTCGTCTTTCCTCTCTCCCTCCCTCTCTGTCTGAAGATAAGTGCAAAAAAAAAAAGTCCTCAGGTGAGGATTTAAAAAAATAATAATAAAATCAATAAAGAAAAAAATTTTTTTAAAATAGTGTCGGTTCTGGTCAAGGGCACGTACCTTGGTTGCAGTTTGGTCCCTGGCCCTGGTCGGGTCATGCTGATTGGGTCATGCGGGAGGCAACCAATTGATGTGTCTCTTTCACGTCGATGTCTCTCTCTCTCTCTCTCTCTCTCTCTCTCTCTCGCCTCCCCCCTCTCCTTTGCTCTCCCTCTCCCTCTCTCTCCCCCCTCTCCCCTCCTGCCCCCTCCCTCCCTCTCTCCCTTCCCTCCCCCCTCCCTTCTTCCCTCCCTCCCACTCTATCTAAAGATAAATGGGAAAAAATCCTTAGTGAGGATTTTAAAAAATAAGTCTTCGGCACATAGTATTACTCAATAAGAGTTTGCTGAATGCATTCTTGCCTTCCCTAAGCTTCTCTTCTTAATTCTCCCCCTAATGCCTCAGGCCCACTATTACCACCGTTGAAGGTCAAGGTAAGAAGAACGTGACCTTCTGGGGGACACCATCGCCATTGTGCGAGATGCTACAGGGGCCGAAGGAGGAGAAAAAGCCGTGTCTACACGTGCCTGCCTGCAAAGACCCTGAGAATGAGAATCTGTAACACCTCTTCCATGCTGACACCCTGACTTCCCAGATCTCAATAAACCAGCCTCTTCCCCAAGAGTGAGGCAGTAGCATCTTCTAGGCCAAAGGGCACAGCACGGGCAAAGTCGCAGTGGCCTGTTGTGGAACACTGTGTTTTCCACTGTGGCCAACAGTTTAGCAGGAATGAAGGCAAGTATCCATCCCTTCACTGCTGCCAGAGCCCCACTGCCCCCACCCCAACCACCCAGCACATTCTTCTGCAGATCTCCATGTTATGGGTTTCCTGTTTGGCTACTCACCTTATCAGGCATTTTCTGATTGGCTGGAGTGCTTGTTATTCATCTTCCTGCCTCCTAAAGCTCCCTAGGTTCCCACCCGCCACAGCCTCTGGGCTGGCAGATTTCACGCCAGTCCTGGTGAACAGCAGCAGGCAGCAGTGGCGTTGCTGGGGTGGGTACCCACTGCACCAGCACCTGCACCCACCCACTCCCAGCAACCCAGCTCCAACATTGCAATTATCAGCAACAAATAGCTCCGGAGGGTATTGGGAGAGAAAGTGACTATGAGGTGCTCTAAGCTGGGGCCTGGGCAAAGAGAAGCTAGAGTCACTATCTGCCAGGAGGAGCCCAAACCCAGACACAGATTCCTGTTAGCATTTGTTCATTCATTCAACACTTATTAGCATCTACTGTATACTAGAACTAAGTCTGGGCATCTGGGGTGAAGAAGGGCTGGTAGGAGGAGAGGACATCTGAACAAGGGAACAGACTCAGAATAGGTGATCCTTTCCTTTGAACATTTATTCAACACTTATCAATGCCTACTGTATATTAACAATAGTCATGGACATCGTGGGGTATAGGAAAGAAGAGGAGTCAGAGTGGTAGCTATCTCCACAGTGAAGGGAACAAACCCAGACACAAATGCCCTTAGCATTTACTCATTCATTTAGCACTTACAAATGCTGGGCCCCTTGTAATGAGACAAAGCACAAGAATCATCATAATTATGGTAATAGCTAATACTTAGTGCTTGCTGAGTGCCTGGTAGTGTTTTAAGCCTCCATAGCATGAATTCATTTAATCTACAATGAACCTATGAGTGTCAGTATTATCCCCATTTACCAAGAGGGAAATAGACATGAAATGTAGTGGGATGAACATTTCTGAAACACCAGGTCAGGAGCAGAGCTTAGGACTTAAAGCTATTAAGTGAAGGGGCACCTCTTGGAGGGTTCGAATGGAAGATTTGTGACACGGAGTCTCAGAATACTCAGTTCTCAGGGTTGACTTCCTCTTGTATAAAATAGGCCAGTTGATGGCTTGAGATGAAGACAAAGTTGATAATCTTGGGAGGAATAAACTGAAGTGAGGGGTTCTGGTGGCTAATACAGAGTATGAAAGAGTGATGTGTTTACAAGAAAGGGGAAGTTTGTGTGTGTGCAGTGTGAAGCTCATATCTTTGTGTATGTGTGATATGCAGACCTATGGGTCTGCAAAAATTAAGGATGTGTTGAGTATATGTGCAGTGAATGTGAAGACACAACTGTGTGTGCACCATAATGTGAATTATAGGGGTGTGTATGTGCACACATGCACATTAGGGCAACATGGATATGTGTGTGAGTTATAAATGACCTGTAGGTATACACAACAAAGAAAAGCATTCTTGGAGCCCCTTCTTTTAAATTCCTGCTGGAGAAGATGGAGACTGCAGAGGAGCCTTATCTCTGCCTCAAGGAGTTGAGACACTCCTAGGGGAATCCTCATTCTTCTGAAAGACAATCTACAAAAAAATTAGTATCTGGAAATTGAACCACCTGGAGAAAGGGAATGATGCTGGAGTCCACAAGTACTAGGAACCTGGCAATGGAGGCTCTGGGAAGAGGCAGTCTGGTGAAGATTCCTAAGAAGGAAGCCAGAATGCTCTGTAGACCTGCATCTGCTCCTTTTCCCCAGAGAGGGCACCATAGGTCCAGCACAACTTATTTGCTTCAGTAACTGAGCAAAAAACTGGGGAGCACATACTTTGAAATGTTGGGAAATATCTGATTTTGGGGGAGTTCCCCAATGTGGGGAAAATGGATATGAAGTGGCGGAGAAGGCATCCAGGAGAGAGGGAAGGAATAGCCAAAGCAAAGGCCTGGAGGTGAGACTGAGGCAGGCTGGGATGGAGGAGGAAGTAGAGGACAGATTGGAAATATTTGATCTGAGGACTGTGGGAGCCTAGAAGAAGGGAAGATGGAATCCGAGTCCTGGGGGAGGGGACTTCCTGAAGACCTTGGTCAAAGATGATACTTGGGGGGGGCGGGGGGACACTACTGGCAGAAGTCATAATACAAGCAAAAGTGGAGGTTTTCTCTTCCCCACTCCCTGCCCTTAGAGGTGAGTCAAGCTAATTTTTAGTTTGAAGGTAGGCAATCTGACTCCAGACCCAATACCATTACTACATTGTTCAAACAGGCCAATGAATTAATGAATGAAGAATGGACACAGGTGAGTCAAGATCATTTTTAGTTTAAAGGTAGGCACTCTGACTCCAGACCCAACACCATTACTACATTTTTTAAATAGGCCAATGAATTAATGAATAAAGAATGGACACATGAATAAGTGGATGATTCACCTGAAAATCCTACAAGCAAAAGAGACCACATCTGCCTGCTTCTTGTATCTTCTTCACTCAGTCCACCATCATCACTCACTATGGCCCACAAGGCCCTACCTATCCAGTCCCTGCTAACCTCTCTGACCCTATCTTTTTCCACAATGCCCCTCAATCAATTTGTTCTAGCTACACTGGCACCTCTTTCTGGCACATTCTTAAAAGAAAAAAAAAATGTATGGATCACATAGTGAACATAACCCTTTAGGAATGAATCAGAATTCTTGGATCCCTTCATCTGTAAAATGGAAATATTAACCACCCCATAGGATTGTTGTGAGGGTTGGATGAGACAGTACATGTAAACAATTCAGTTAAGCATTGGGTACAGTCAGTCAACTGATTATTTTTAAGTGGATTTTTGCTTTCATTGTAGTCAGGATCTTAATAGGAGTTGACAATAGCTTTCACAGCCCACCTCTGTCCAGACTATAAAAGTCATTTGCTTATGTGGCAAACATCTGGCACCTACTGTGTGTAAACCCTAGGATGGGTCTACCTCTGTGGAATGTTCTGTGGTGCAGAGGGAGACAGTCATGGGTACTGATGATACCAGGTGGTTATTGTGGGTTTTGGCTGTGTCGAAGACAAACAATTGGGGTTGTAGGGACCCAGTGTGTATGTAGATAGGGATAGACAGACACACATCAGGGCTAGAGTTCAGGATATGTGTCTGTGGCTAATCTAGGTTTGTCCACTATCAGTGGGTATGTTTTGTATGGGTGAGCAGACAAAAACTCACCCTGGGCTTGTGTTTGTGTATAGATACCTACATTGGTGTGTGTTCTCTGTCTATATGCCTCCGTGTATTTCCTTACTTTGGTTTGTGTCTGCATGCATTTCTACGTGTGTGTCATTCCGTGTGCCTCTGCTCCCCCAGGGCAAGGGTCTAAGTGTCTACCTCTGCCTGTCTACGCCTCCCTCGCACCTCTCTGCCTAGCTGAGCCTGTGTGTGCGTGGGAAACTGATCTCCCCGCGGGGTACTGCGTGTGACCCTCGCCCCTCGCCGTGAGGTTGTTATTTCTCTACTTTCGTGTCTCCGGGTGTGCCTCCATTCCCACCCCGACATGCCTTCTGTGGTGAATATCGACGCTGGAAACCGAGTACCTGCGGAGGTCCTGCGTGTGGGTGAGACTGGATGTGAAGACCAGAATGACGCGGGGTGCGGGGCTTGCCTGACCACCCACTGGGACCCTCCGGACAAGCACCTACCCCGCCCCCACTCTCCAAATTGCGCATCCCCAATCCGAGGGGGGGAGGGAATAGGATGCGGCGTGGCGCGTGCGCACTGCCCCCTTCAGCACCGCGGACAGCTCCTTCGCCCCCGCCTGCCGGCGTGCTCCACCGCCGCCCCAGCACTGAAGGCGCGCTGACGTCACTCGCCATTCCTCCTCAAACTCCCCTTCCCGGTAGCCTTGGTCGCGTCCGCACTGCCACCGGCCCAGCCGGAGTGCACCACGCAGGACGCGAGATAGGGGGGCACGGGCGCGACCATCCGCGCTGCGGCGGTGGCGACTCAGCGCTGCCTCAGTCTGCAGCGGGCAGCAGAAGAGTCGCGTCGTGCCTGAGAGCGCAGCTGTGCTCCTGGGCCCCGCGCGGTCCGCCCCCGCGGCTCCTGACCAGACTGCTCTTAGGAGCCCCTGCCCCGCGCCGCAGCCATGAACTACCTGCGGCGCCGCCTGTCGGACAGCAACTTCATGGCCAATCTGCCAAATGGGTACATGACAGACCTGCAACGTCCGCAGCCTCCTCCGCCGCCACCTGCTGCCCCCAGCCCTGCAGCCACGCCCGGTCCTGCGACCGCCACTGCCGAGAGGGCCTCCTCGGCCGCCCCTGTGGCCTCTCCGGCTGCCCCAAGCCCTGGGTCTTCGGGGGGCGGTGGCTTCTTCTCGTCGCTGTCCAACGCAGTCAAGCAAACCACTGCTGCCGCAGCCGCCACCTTCAGTGAGCAGGTGGGCGGCGGTTCTGGGGGCGCAGGCCGTGGGGGCGCCGCCGCCAGGGTGCTGCTGGTCATCGACGAGCCCCACACCGACTGGTAAGCTACTGCCGCGGACGTCTCCCTGTGGGCCTGGGTCCCCAGATGGTTCCGGGACGAGCAATTATCGAGCACCACTTGTGTGTCTAGCACCTGTCCCCCCTCACCCAAACCCTTTTTCTTAAATTATTATGTTGTGTGCTTCCTGTGTGCCCCACCCTTACCCCTATCACCACCACCAAGGCCTCCTCAATCCATACTGGGAGCAGTTATCAAGCACCTACTGTGTACCTCCTTCCCCCAAACCTTGGCTTCCATGTATCCTGTGAACATTTAAGAGCCTAATGTGCCCTGATCCGCCGCCCCCCCACCAAACCCTCGCCAAAGGCCTTGTCCTCTACTGAATCTCGTGAGCACTTATCAAGTACTTGC